GATAGAGCATCTCAATAACATAACAGTATGGAAATAGAGAACTTGAAAAATATTATAAATGAACTAGACTTAGTAGATATATATAGCAGAACACCCCAACTAAGAAGAGAGGAATAACATCATTTCTGAGTACAACAGAACACTCTTTAGAAAGGAAAATATGTTAGACAACAAAACAAATGTCATATTTAAAGAATAAATGTATATGGAGTATTTTCTTCCACTAAAATGGAATGAGCTACAAATCATAGTAGATGGAAAACTGGAAAATTGACAAACCTATGGAAATTAAATGACCCACTAATTAACAAAAAATGAATGAAAGAAGAGAGCATAAGAGGAATTATAACATACATTAAGACTAATGAAAATAAAATACACTGTATCAAATCTTAGAGGTTGCAACAATAGTAGTACTCAGGAAAATAAATAGTTGTAAACATCTACATTGAAGAAGAATAGCTCAAATCAATAACCTGACATTGACAATAATATATACATTGAAGTATTAGAAAACTAAACCCAAAACGAGCAGAAAGAAAAAAATAGTAAAGACTAAAGATAAATGAATTAGGGAATAGAAAACAATAAGAAACAAGTTCAATAAAACCAAAAGATGCTCCTTTGAAAAGATTTTTAAGAAAATAAACTTTTATCAGAGAAAAAAAAGATGAAAATAACTAAAACAAGAAATCAAAGTGAGAGCATTTCTACCAACTTTACAGAAATGAAAAGGTTTATAAGAGACTATTATGAATAATTATATGCCAACAAATTAGATAATCAAGATGAAATAAATGAATTCCAGAAACACACAAGTTTCTCAAACTGATTCAAGAAAAAAATGGAGGGTTGCCTGGGTGGCTCAGTGAGTTAAGCCTCTGCCTTTGGCTCAGGTCATGATCTCAGGGTCCTAGGATCGAGCCCCGCATCAGGCCCTCTGCTCGGCAGGGAGCCTGCTTCCCCCTTTCTCTCTGCCTGCCTTTCTGCCTATTTGTGATCTCTGTCAGATAATAAATAAAATCTTAAAAAGAAATAAATAAAAGAAAAAATAGAAAATCTAAAAAATCTTTAATAAGAGATTTTATCAGTAGTCAACCTCTTAAGAAAGAAGTGTCCAAAACCAGATGACTTCACTGGTGGACTCTATCAAACATTTAAAGAATTAATACCAATCCTTCTCAAACTCTCCCAAACAAAAGAAGAAAAGAGAACACTTCCTCATTTATTCTATGAGGCCCTTATTACCTTATTACCAAAGCCAAATAAAAATATCACAGAAAAATAGATTCCCTGAATAAATCTTAATAGAAATGTAAAAAATTCCCCACAAAACACACCAAATCCAAAAGCATATTAAAAGTATACACATCATGGGGTGCCTGGGTGGCTCAGTGGGTTAAAGCCTCTGCCTTCAGCTCAGGTCATGATCCCAGGGTCCTGGGATTGAGCCCCACTTCGGGCTCTCTGCTCAGCAGGGAGCCTGCTTCCCCCCCCCCCTCTCTCTCTGCCTGCCTCTCTGCCTACTTGTGATCTCTCTCTGTCAAATAAATAAATAAAATCTTTAAAAAAAAAGAAGTATTATACATCATGACCAAATGAAATTATCCAAGGAATGGAATGGTAATTCAACATTAGAATATCAATCAATATAATACACTACTTAACAGGATGGGGGGAAAATCATGATTATTACACAAGATACAGAAAAGGCATGTGACAAAATCCAATATTCTTTTGTGATTAAAAGAAGGGGAGGCTAGGAATTGAAGGGGATTTTCTTCATAAGATAAATGGCATTTACGAAAAACCCCCAGGTAATAATATACTCAGTGGTAAAAAAGTGAAATCATTCTAAGAGAATCAGAAACAAGAAAGGATGACTATTTTTACCACTCCTGTTACATATTTTACATAATGGAATTTCTAGGTAGAACAGTTACGTAAAATAAATAAGAGGTGCCCAAATTTTGAAGGAAATAGGAAATCAATCTCCACTCACAGATGAAAAGATACTACATATAGGAAAAAAAAAATAAAACAACAACAAGACAAAGAATCCAAAAGAAAGCTATTAAAGTTAATAAACGAATTTAACAAAGTTACAGATTACAAGATCAACATACACAAATCAGTTGTAATCAGTAACAACAATCCCAAAAGAAAATTAAGAAAATAATCTTATTTATAACATATAAAAGATTAAAATAACTAGGAATAAATTTCACCAATGAGATAAAAGTCCTATGTCCTCCAAACTATAAAACATTAGTGAAAAAAGTTAAAGAAGACCTAAGTAATTGGAAAGACAACTAACATTCAGGAATCCTAATATAATACTGTTACGTTGTTGATACTATTCAATACAATCTACAATGCAATCTACAGATTCAGCACAATGCCTATCAAAATTCCAATAGTCCTTTTTACAGAAATAGAAAATCTGACCCTCAAATTCATGTGAAGTTCCAAAGTGCCCTGAATAGACAAAACATTCTTGAAAAAGAAGAATAAAGTTGGAGGATTCATTGTTCCTAATTTCAAAACTTACTACAAGTTTACAGCAATCAAAACATTGTGGTCCTTGTCATAAGGATAAATATATAGACCAATGGAAGAGAAATTTGAGTTCATAAATCAACACATGTATCTATGGTCAATTGATTTTCAGCAAAGATACCTAGTCCATTCAGTAAGGAAACAATAGTGTCTTTAACAAATGGTGCTAAAACATCTGGATAGGTGGATTTTAATACGCAAAAAAAATAGACCTCTACTTCAGAGCACATATAATAATTAACCCAGTATGGACAAATAGACTAACATAAGGACTAAAACTATAAAACTCTTAGAAAAAAATCATATGAGCAATCTTCATGACCTTAGAGTTGACAATAGATTCTTAGGTAGGACACCAAAAGCATGAGCAACAAACAAGAAATAGAAAAACCAAACTCCACCTAAATTAGAAATTGTTCATCAAAAAAATTATGAAGAAAATGAAAAAAGTAACCTATAGGATGGGATAAAATATTCAAAAGTTATATATCTAATAAGGGTTAATGTCCAAAAGTTTAAAATCTCTTACAACTCCATAACAAGAAGAAAATAATTTTTAAAAAAATGGGCAAAAGACTTTCATAGATATTTCTTCAAAAACATATACACAAGCAGCCAATTATCACATGAAAAGATGCTTGACATGATTAGACATTAGGGGAATGTTAATGAAAACCACAATGAGACACCACTTCATTTCCATAAGGATGCTTAGAACTTCTTTTAAAAATTAAAAAACAGGATGCCCTGGGTGGCTCAGTTGGTTAAGCATCCAACTGTTGATTTGGGCTTAGGTCTTCATCTCATGGTTGTGAGTTCGAGCACCACACTGGGCTCTGCACTGGGCATGGAGCCTACTTAAAAAATAAAAAAATAAAAAATAATAAAAAATAAATGTTGGTGGAGATGGCAGAAATTGGAATCCTTGTACATTGCTGGTAGCACTGTAAAATGGTGAAGCCACAATGGAAAATAGTTCAACAGTTCTTCAGAAAGTTAAACAGAATTATTGTATGATTCAGCAACTCCACTTCCTAGGTATGCACCCCAAGGAACTGAAAACAGGGATTCAAAGAAAATATTTCTACATTTATGTTCACTACAGATTACTTAATGTAGCTGAAAGGTGGAAACAAAAGTGTTCATCAAAAGATGACAGATAAATAAAATGTGATATATACATAATATATGTGATATATACATTAAAATAGAATGTTATTCAGCCTTGAAAAGGAATGACATTTTATACATGCTACAACATACATGAACCTTAGAAACATTATATTGAGTGAAATAAGCCAGAGAGAAAGGGCAAAAATAGTATGATTCCACTTACATGAAATATCTAGCACAGACTGACTGATAAATACAGGAAGTATATTTGAAGTTAGTAGAGACTGAAGGAAGAGGGAGATTAATTATCACTTAATGGGTAGAGTTTTTTGGGGGGGTGATGAAAAGCTTAAAAATACGTAATAGTGATATTTGCATAACATTGTGCATGTAATTAATGTCACTGGTTTGTACACTTAAACTGGTTAAAAATTTCATAATATATACATATACATGTATACCACAATAAAATATTTAAAATAACTTCACACACAAACATGATTGTGTATCTATGAAATAATTTTAATGGATAGAGAAGACTCTTCAGGAGAGTGGACACAGGGAATTGCACCATCAAGTGGATTTTAATTTTATCTTTATAATTTTGAACTCATTTTTATAAAGAAAATTATGTAGCTTAAAATATAATTTTTAAAACAAAATTGTATATTGGATAATTTTGTGAACCACAATATAGGTCATTTATTATTCCTATACCATGAATTTAATGATAAAGAAAATGGAATTAAAAATAAAGTTTCTACAAAATTTTCTTTTCTGCTTTTATCGTACTTTTATACTTATTGATATATGGTCTTTATTACTTTAATTTATTCAGTGTTTACTGAGCATGTACTGAATGCCAAATCCTGTGCAGGAAATTTTCACATCTGGTATCTCATTAAGAAGGAAGTATGAGATATATATTGAGAATTTGATTTCTTACAAAATATCACTTGACTCTTCCATTCAGTCCCTAGTATTGGCTATATTTTCATTTTGTCTCTGGATTTCTATGAAGGTACATAGGTTTGAAAGCTTCCACATAGATTCATGTATGAGAACTAAGTCATTTGGCCAAAACCATTCACTGTGAGTTTTAGATAAATCTGACGTTTTCAAAATTTGTTTTAGATGGCAAGAGAAATTGAGAAATCTCATACTGATTTGTATTAATTTGTAACGTTCTCTGTGGAACTTAAGGCACACTGTTCAGAAGGTAATAAATGTCCCCCTTTAAATAGGTCTCGTATGTCCTCAAAAGATAGAGATTAAATTAGTCACCATCAATACTTACACATACAGAAGAGAGGCCAGGACAAATGATTACTAGTCTTCCACTCACATAGTAAGATGTATCATTAGAGTTGGAACACCTTTAAAAATAGAATTTAAATATTTTATTATTTATTTGAGAGAGAAAGTGCACAAGCAAGGGGAGGGGCAGAAGGAGAGGGACAAGTAGGCTTCCTGCTGAGCACAGACCTGGCACAGAGCTAGATCCCAGGACCCTGAGGTCATGACCAGAGCCAAAGGCAGACAGTCAACTGAATGAACCACCCAGGCATCCCTTAAAAACAGTTTAGAAAGAATTTAAGAGTTTTTTTTTTTTAAACAAAAATTTTTTTAAGAAAGAACTTATAGTTTCACCTTCCTTTTTATGGAGCAGGAAGCACAGATGCTGAGAGGGCAGGTTCAGATTAAACAGCTGCCTCCTGAGGGCAGAATGAGGACACCAAGGCTGAATGTTGGAACCATAATGATTTACCATTCTACATTTATGTGTATTACATCCCTGTGAACATGATACTCACAAATTAAGACACAGCAAAGCTAAATGGGGGAGGAGTATCATAAGAAACTGATGATTTTTTTTTAATAGAACCAAAGATTCATATACAATTCTTCTGAAACAAAGAATGTACAAAGAAACATTAATATGTTTAATCATTTAGACCATCTTTCCATATCATGCTTTGTTATTTCTGATGAAGATCATGTGTGCATCAGGTGTCTCCTTTGTTTTCTGTGGGCAATACAACTCCTGGATTTAGGTTACTCTGGTCTTCCTCATTAGTAGGCACGGAATTAAACTGAGTGTGCAGAGAAAAAAAAAAAAAGACTAACTAGGGTTTGGTATGAGTAATTCTAAGTCAAATAATGCTAAATTGTTTCTTTAGCTGTTATTCTAATAGTTACATGAAAGATGGAGAACCAGGTCTTGACACATTGTTCTGACTTCACAGTATCCCGCAGCAGGGATCTAGGGGATGGTTTTAAAGTGACGAATCTCCTTGTGACAGCTAAATGCCAAGGCTGTGGTTTTGAAAATATAAAACCATTATATATTTTTTCTTTATCCCCTTCCCCGCTATTTTATCTTCTGCTTCTCCTGCCCAATTTACAAGATTCTAAGCTTCCAAGACAGAGTGCAAAAAAAAAAAAAAAAAAAAAAATGGCCTCAACGAGCACAGATTTTCATTATTCATATTTCATAAGGCAAAAATTAGCTGGCACAATTGTGTGGTGAATATAGCAAGAGGTGAATAAACAAATATAATCAGATTTTTTAAATTTGTGTGACCATCTCTAATATTATTTTGCATAGATATTCTTTCAAGGTGGAGGCTAAAAGCGCCAACTGAGGAGAGAAGATTTTCAGTGTCAGTGAAGTTAAAACATGTCAGCAGCAGTTCCTTCTGCGAATATTGTCTCACATGAAAGAAAGGATGGATTGAATTCATATCTGAAACAAGACAAGATTTTCCATCTGACCTCATTATGTGTTTCTCTGGAGTGCATCCCTGGGTTTCTGCCGGAACTGCAATGTGTTGTGTGGAAACCAAATATAAAATAGCTCAGTACTGCCGTAACAGACGTATCTTAATAAGATGGGGTATTTATTGTTTTGCCACAGTCATCTCTTAACTCAAAAAGTCATAATGATGTGCTGGATCCCTTTGTTAAAGCAATCCCCTTAAGTGAAGGCATGTACTAATGAAAGGGTTTATGCTGCACGGCTGGAAGCAAAGATGAAGTAGCATTACTGTAGATCACAGGGATTTATATTGAGGATTTTTTATGGAAAGATTTTTAAAAACTCGACCGTTGTATCCTCATAAATAATTAAACATACAAATTATCACTGTTATAATACAGCCAGTTTTCCTTTTTGTGAGCACTGGTAATCAATTCAAGAATATACTGCTTTAAAGGGATTTATAGCATTTTTCGTTGTTCCTGATCATACTGGAAAATTATTCAGAGATCAGAAATAATAGAAAACTTTCCCCTAGATTAACCTCATGCTCCAAAGAGAGAAATTTCCTATATAGTACGCTATCATACAGAAAGCCATCTTGTTTTTTGTTTTATTTGTACAAAGGCTTCTTTGTATATATGTGTATATGTGTTTGCATTTTTCATACTAATGGATAAAGAAACATGTCATTGTTTATATTATTACTGTGTGTGTGTGTGTGTATATATATACTGTTTTTTTTTCAAGATATAATCGATGCAGGAAAAATATGACGACTCCCAAATCTACTATTATTAAAATATATTTCCATACCCTCTAAGTTGTCCCATAATTATCAGTATTATCTAAAAATTAATCAGCGGCAGTAAACTATTAAAAAGAAGTCATTACGTATATTTCTCTGTACATAGATGAAGATTTAAATATAAAATCCATAGAGTAAGCTGTACTCTTTTGGTGAAATTAATATCAATCTATCTATTTATACTGAATAATTTGACACAGTTTTAATTTTTAGTTGCCATGACAACTCATTGTTACATCAAAGTCCCTGAATTGTACGTTTCATAAAACAGTAAATACCAAGCTATACAACCTTTGAATAAGTTAATTTGGACAAGTTTTGAGGACTTGATGGAATCATTTGGTCAATATTCAGTATAGACTATAAAAATTTCTGGCACATAATGAAACTTTTAAATTTACTACCTGAGGAAAATTCCTCTTTTAGAAACAAAGGCCATGTGATGTGTGACATGTTTACTTTGTATAGAAATAACTACTGTATTAAAAAGTGGACCTTTCTGAAATACATATTGCAACCACGGCATTTTGCTTAATGTTGGGAATGCAGAGATTAGTCCACCATTCAGGACGTCACCTGTCAAATACTTAGTATGGAGCAGTTATGAGAAACTAAATTAAACATTTACATATGCAATAGCCCACCTTCTAGGAGTGTCGCCTAATCCCCTACCCTTGAGACACAGTGACTGGTTTCCAAATAATAAGAGAAAAAAATAGTAATTTTGCAGTGGAGAAACCTGATAAACATGACCTTAACTGAACAATGAGAGCTAACATTGTCAGGGATGTCCCACAGCTACCATTTCTCTCTGACAGGGGGTTAAGAAGGCATCTTCACCCTCCACGTATTATTCCAAAATTTCTAACCCCAGACTAATCTAAGAAAAACACTGGATAAACCTAGACTCGGTGACAATTCTGCAAGATACCTACCTCTGTTCTTCAAGACTCTCAAGGTCATGACAATTAAGAAAGACTGAAATGTTTTCACAGACCAGAGGAGGCTGGGTAGCCATGACAACTAAATGATATGTGGGTCTCTGGATTGGATCTAGAACAGAAAGAGAACATTCAGAAAGACTGGTAAATGTGAATAAAGTCTAGAGATCAATTAAAAAATGAAACAATTCACATATAACTTTAAAGTCTAACAAAGTGCTCTATTTAATTAGACAAGAGGAACTGTGGTTTCATCAATGGCGAGTCAATTATAAACTATTTAGTGGTCAAGAATGAGTCAACTCAGCATTTCATGTAGCCAGACCAGTGTCACACAGTGTCAGAGATTACAGCATGTGAATACATAATAAAAGATCTTAAAACATCATCAGCCAGTGGTTTGCAAAGTATTTTCTGCAGACACTAGAAACTTCTGAGAGAGTAGTACAGATTAGTGAGAAGGCATCACATTAGCCACAGCCCCATCTCCAATTCAACTATACTAACGTAGAGTTACATAATTGTTATCCGTGGTTTACAACAAAACAGAAGAAAATCAGTATGTGAATCAGATATCCAGGTAAGTGTTTATTCAGCTGTAATGGGTATGTGAATCATTGGGCATCTTATTAAAAGCAGACTCTAATTTAATAGATCTAGGATGAGGCCCAAGATTCTGCATTTCTTTTTTTTTTTTTTTTAAAGATTTTATTTATTTATCTGACAGACAGAGATCACAAGTAGACAGAGAGAGAGGAGGAAGCAGGCTCCCCGCCGAGCAGAGAGCCCGACGTGGGGCTTGATCCCAGGACCCTGGGATCATGACCTGAGCCGAAAGCAGAGGCTTTAACCCACTGAGCCACCCAGGTGCCCCAAGATTCTGCATTTCTAACAAGTAATACACATCTCACTGATTGTCAGAGAACAATACCTTAAGTGGGGAGCAGAATCTAAGAGCAAATATTTCAACTGTTTTCTTACCCATAAATTTCACAGAGGGAAGTGTGCTATTACTTTTTAAAGAGTTTTGTGAACTTGACTAAAATAAAACAATCCTTCGCAATTAGCTAGCTTTGAGTTAGATAAATTACGAAAGTTGAGTTTTCTGAGCTATAGTCCTGCTCAATCCTAATCCTTCGATACCCCTAATCTTACTCTTGTTTATTGTAACAACTCCCAGACCCTTGACCTTATCCAACCAACTTCCCTAGACCATGTTCTCATTCATTTCATTGTATAACCAGTCATTTTAACAATGAATTGGCCAATTACATTTTATTTTATCCCATTCCAAGCCCAGTCTCAGGCAGTATGAACTACATCTTTATTTAAAAAAGAAAATAAAGTGAATATTTGGGAATTTTACAAACTCATGCTTTTATATTTCTTGTGGGCATTGGCCTCACATTTAAAAATGTTGACTTTATGGTGACTCATTGCATTCTCGAAAGGTTGGTTCCAAGCTTTCTGTACCCTCAAAGTCCAAATTTTATTTCAAAACATTTAACACTCAATTTTATTTTCTGCTTCTCAGTAATGAGATTCCTAAGCTCCAAACATCTTTCTCTCAATCCATATACTCCCTCAAACTACTGAACATTTCCTTCAGAACTATGTAGATATCCGATCCATTTTGAGTGAGTATCACGATCTGTCCTGACTGGAATTATTCTCCACAGAGGTCACCAACCACCATGTGCCAATTCCAATGACATTCTCTTTGCTCAATTCAGCATCCAATACTATGGGGGAGAGGCTTTTAGGAATACTTGTGGGTTTCTTCAATTTTAGATTGCTTAGAGAGAACCCAGTCCTATTTGCTTTTTTCCCCACTTTTACTGGAAAAGACAGTGGTTTGCAAAAATTTGGACCTCTAAAATCCAATTACCTGGTTTTGATTCTTTACCATTTTCTGGCTTTATGAGTTTGAGCAGGTTGCTTCATTGTATGTGTTTTAATATTTTTATCTATAGAATCATAATATTGGCTTCTAGCTCTAATGGCCACCTTATGGATTAAACAAGTTAATATACACAAAGTGACTAGAATTATGTCCAACAGTGAGTGCTAGACAAATGTCAGTCCTATTCTCTCTCTGCAGCCATTCTTTTGGATAGTTTATCTACCCTCATTTCATCAAGCATTTCCATATAGCATCCCACCTCTATGTGTATTTCTAACATGTGACATGTGAAGCTGGACAATTCTATATTGTAAGGAGCTGTCCTGCACACAGCAGCAAGGTTAGCAGTATCACTAGCTTTTACCCACTAGAAGTCAGTAGCAACCCTGGTTTTAACACAAAAAATTGTCTCCAAACATTGCCAAATATCCTCTGGGGATCAAAAATCACCCCTAGGTGAGAACTACTGTTACAATCTCTTTCTAAGGATATCTTTCTATGGATACCTCTGTTGCCTCAACATATATCCAAAGGTGAATTTACCATGTTCTTTCTAGACCAGTTTTATGTACTGTTCTACTTACTTTTCTAAGTAACCAAGATGGAAAACACATAAATCTTTACTTTTCTCTCTTGCTTTCTACAGTTAATCTAGTAAATTGTGTTAAATATGCAATTCCAGTATTTTTTTTTTACCATTTAGCTCTGTGTAATCCCACTCACACCAGAATTGGTCCCTCATTCTTTCAGCAGAGTTATGGTAATACCCACCCAGTGGTAGACATACTCTAGTGACAACGAGACAAAGATCCAATTGCGGACCTTATGTTCTTGTGGAGGAAATAGGCAAGGAACGAGTAAGCAGATAAATGATATGTAAGGCAAATAAGGAAGGGTAAGGGGATAGAAGATGAATGAAAGATGGTGTTTTCATAAAGGGTATTAGTAGGGACATCTTGGGAAAGGTGGTATTACAGCTACTCCTATGAAGGGCCTAATGATCCAAAAATTGGGGGATGCAGCCACATAAATAAAAGCAGCAAGTTCAGGGTGTTGACAATTATTCAATGTGTGGGGTGTTTGAACAGGTTAGATTTAAAAAGAAAGACAGAAACAAGATTCTAAAATATACCAACAAAAATTCTTACATGTTGGAAAAAATGCAGAGGATGAGATGAATCTAAATCTAAGCTGACGAAATTTTACTAAGTCATTTGATTTCTCTGATTTTCATATTTTTAACTATTTTGAGGTTTTAGCTGACTGTAAAACTTAATTATGCATTGTGTTGGGGATTGTGTATAACATGTGAATATATTTAACCAAATATATTCATGTATTTTATAAAAATTCTCCATTTTAGAAGTCATACTCAACTTCTAGTTTAGAAGAAAGCCAACATTCATGTTAAGTTCATTAAATTTAGACAATTCTGTAAATAAGAATACATGCTAACCTTAGCATTTACATGCTAACCTTAGCATCTCAATAGCATTTAAAAGTCATAATATTTTCATAAGAGTATTAAAATTGTCCATGGAAAACATGTGTTTTAGTCTAATATTATTAAAAGTAGCTTTAAAACTTTAAACTCTGAGACCAGAGAAGTGATTTCAACATAGCAATTGCACATGGCACTGATGTTCTGTAAGTCTTTAACATGTAACGTACTTTTTAAAATTAGCATAGTCCAAAACATTAGCTTTGAATGTTAACAGTGACCAAAACAACAGCTAAAATTAAGGGAATGTCTATGTTTTGCCTTCAAAACTTATTGTGCCCCTTCAAACTCTCCTTGTCCCTGCGTTAAGAGTTTATTACCTAAACCATTAAATACAATACGACTGAATTAATTCATTAAATACAGTCTAAAAACCTGCCTGGGATAAGTTTTGTTCAACCTTTTTGTTTCTTTGTATTTATTCTTTCGTTATTCTTTCATTATCTTTGCATTTTAGACTTCAGACATAATCGAAGAGTTGCGTGTGTTCAATTTCTACAGACAGGGGTGAGTTAAGGATAGAGTGGCAGACCTAATTTAGAAATCTCCTCCTTTTGTATACTTAAGTTAAATCCTTAACTCAATCGTAACATCGAGTTTTTTATTTACAGACGCCCTCATTAGCCGCCTCGCTGTGGAGACAGATACCTTCTTTGCTTCTATTAGTCCCTACCAGATTAAATTACCTGCATCAAGGCACTCTTCCATCTCCACTGGAGCTCAGGTTATGTAGCAAAACAACAGTGGTAGGGAGTGAATGGTTATCAAGAGAAAGTTTACTTTCAGTGTTAAGAATTAATTTAGCTGAACTGGTGCAGTGAAAGTGGTAAACACAATCCCCTCACTGTTGTTTGTCAGGGTGTGTTATATCACCCTGGATTGCTTTGTCAATAATCTGCCTGGCCTAAGCTAAAAATCTAAGATTGCTCGGATGACTGACAGGCTGGAGATAGCTGATAATTCTAAGGAATTGGAGGTGTAAAATCTTCAAGGACCATGTCTAGAGTATAAATGCCAGGGTATCTCCACATCACTCTGTACTTACAAAGGCAACAGCATTGTTAATGGCAGCCTGTCTGTCCATCAAGTTTGCTACCGGCGGATTTATCCCTTTTTCACTCCTTATCTTCCTTTGCTGTGTTTATTTCGAAACCAGCTGCAGAATAAATTGTCTCTTGTCTTCACCTCCTACACTGAGTACAATGATATGTTCTGTAAAGCTTAAAATCATGGTGTTTTTCAAGCACTCCTTTTTCAGAACACTGACTTCTAATTTTGTTTGTTTATGAATATGTATTTTTTCCTCCTATGGAGGTTTTTTAGTAGAACATTAAAAAGGACTTTTATTTACTTGGTGAGTGCTCAGTCTCCAGATAAAGGTGTGTGTATGTTATCTCATAGAGAAGAAATAAATAGAATTAAGATAACCGTTTTTGCTACTGCCTTGAATAATTCATTAGATCCATTCTGTTTTAATCAAATCATTAAAATTAGTAAACAGCTTAATAATTTGGAAATATACACAAATAAAAATTTGTATATAAATAGAAATATATTTTTAATGAACAGTTTTCTAAAATTTAATAAAGTATAAAGTATCCATCCTTTATGCACATCTACCCATTTGCACTAACTTATTACTGAGAGGGGAAAAATAGGAATGTATGTCGCTGGGCAGATTTACAGATCAAAATTAGAGTTTGTATAA